CAAAGCTTTAAAATGCATACCTATATGTTTAAATAACATATGTGCAAAAAGAAAAAAATAAAGGTCTGAAGGTACGCTCACCAAGCCACGCAAAGGAGCGACTTTGCAAGAACAGGATTTTTACTTTAACCTTCAGAATTTTGTTGTTGTTGTTTGTTTTGAGACAAGGTCTGGCTCTATAGCCCAGACTGGAGTGCAGTGGTGTGATCTCGGCTCACTGTAACCTCTGCCTCCTGGGTTAAAGTCTTCCTCCCTCCTCAGCCTCCTAGGTAGCTAGGGCTACAGGCATGCACTACCATGCCCAGCTAATTTTTGTCGAGATGGGGTTTCACCATGTTGCCCAGGCTGGACTCCAACTCATGAGCTCAAGTGATCACTGGCTTCAGCCTCCCAAAGTACTGGGATTACAGGTGTAAGCCACCACACCCAGACCAGAATTGGTTGTTTTAACAAGCAAATGTGACTTAAAACACATGAAAAATATCAGAAACACTAAAAAAACATACACAGGAAAAATAACCTAAATGGAAATATGTCAAAATGTTCATGGCAATTGCCTGATGAACTTTTTTGGCTTCTTTTGATTTCTATACAGGTTTTGTTTTTGTTTTTACTAATTCGTTGTTTTTTTTATGAGACAGGGTCTCACTATGTTGCCCAGGCTGGTGTCAAACTCCTAGGCTCAAGCAATCCCTCCACCTCAGCCTCCTGAGTAGCTGAGACTATAGGCAGACATCACCACACCTGGCTTGCTTTTAGTCATTCTTAACACAAACACACTCTCCTCATGAAATTGTGGCACACGCCTTTTGTGTTTTAAGAAGGCCTTCTCTACCCCAAGGTCACAAATATAATCCATTTTTCCTTCTAATAAACTCATCATCTTGTTTTTCATGTTTGTTATTTAATCCATCTGAAATTTTTGTGAATGGTATGAAGTAAGGCCCTTAACTGTTTTTTTAAATACCTGGCCATGTATAAATAATCTTTCTTTTCCTCATAATTACAAATACTACCTTTATTAGCTATTGTTTCCATGTAAATTTTATGTTTCTATATTCTATTGCATTCATCATTTTATCTAGTTCTGTATCATTACCAACTTGTTTTGATCACTGAATATATTTTGACATTTGGTAGGCAACCACCCATTCTTCTAGCCTACCTTTTGTTTTTCCAAGTTGATCTTCGCTATTCTTGCATATTTTTCTTCCAAATGAATTTAAAATCAATTTGTCAAGTTCCATGATAAATCCTTTGGGATTTTGATTGAGATTGCATTTACTTATGGATTAGGTAGGTATCTTCTATCTATAAACATGTAATCTATCTCTATTTAGGTCTTTTATACTCATCTAATAACACTATTTTATAGCTTTTATGGACAATACATTTTAGGTTCAGCACTGAAGTCTCTTACTTCAAAAAACTTAATTCTCTTGCAATCATATTGTCTACAAATGAATGTTTTGCCTACTACTTTCCAATATCTGAGAATCATTACTTTTCCCACAATACTGGCTACAGTAAGACTTGCAGAAATATACTGAATAGTACTGGCAATAGTGTTCATTCTTGTCTAATTCATATTTTTTGTGCTGGAGTGCAGTGGTGCAATCACAGCTCACTGTAGCCTTGACCTCTTGACCCAAGGGATCCTCCCACCTCCACCTCCCAAGTAACTGGAACTACAGGTGCAAGTTACCCCACCTGGCTAATTTTTCATTTTTGTTTTTTTGTAGAGATGGGGTTTCATCCTCTTGCCCAGGCTGGTCTCAAACTCCTGAGCTCAAGCAATCTGCCCGTCTCAGCCTCCCAAAGTGCTGAGATTACAGGCCTGAGCCACCGCACCCAGCCGCAGCCTCTTATTCATATCTAACAGATTCGCTGAAACACTTCTCCATTAAGTAGGTTTCCTACGAGCAACCTTCATCAAGTTAAGGGTATTTCTTTCCCTTGCTAACTTTTATATATGCGTGAGCAAGAATATCATCAAATGCCTTTTGGCACCTATTGAGATAAACATAATTTTTTTCTCCTTTATAGATTTTGAAAACTATATATTGAATCAATCTGCCATTCCTGGTAAAAGTCCTTTTTAGTCACAATATATTTGTATTTATTGTAAATACAACAGAAATGTCTTTTCTCACATAGTTCTGGAGGCTACAAGTCTGAAATCCAGATGTCAGCAGGGCCCTGCTCGCTCTGCAGGCTTTAGGAAACAATCCGTCTTTGCCTCTTTCTGGTGGTTGCTCTCTATAGGTTTATTTCCGATTTTTATTCCTTGTTTATAAGTGAAAATAGCCTATATGTACCTTTTATAAGAAAAACACACACCCAAAAAGGTACTATACATACATATTTTTACATTATCTGCTTAAAAATGCACAGGTAAAGATATGCTTAATTTTATATTTTAAAAAAGCCTGGTATGCAAATTGAATGTGTGCAAAGCGAACACACGGAATATGTTTTAACCTCTACTTATTGAATTCCCTATTTGGGCTACTGCTACCATCATTAATTCAGCAACTCAACTCCAGCAAGAATCACTGAAGTCTCCATTCCTCCCTCCCCACACTATCCCCGTCCAGGCATTCACCAGGTCCCAAACATTCTAAGGTCATTCTACCTCAGGTCTCCACGGGGAGGCTGCAGTATGGAATGGGGGAAGTCAGAATTTTAAGACAGACTTGGTTCCAATTCCATTGCACATTACTGCATTCTCTCGAGCAAATAACTTTACCTCTCTGGGCCCCCGTGTCTTCATCTATAAATATACATGCTACCATTGAAGAACTGTGGTAATTGTCAAATGAGATAACATATGTAAATTAACTACCACATCATATTTGCCACGGAATGCATGATCAAACGGTAACACCAAGAACCTCCCCACTCCTCGTCTTCCCCTCTGTCCCTGCCCTGAGCCAGGCCTTCCAAACGTCACCTGCTCAATGATGTCTTCTAGTCTTTCTGCCATCTGGACATTGCTGACAAAGCTCACTTGCTAAAATACAAATGGAATCAAACACCTGTTTAAATCATGCTACTGGCTCCCATCTACCTACTAGATACAGTTCCAACTCCTTAGCATGACTTGTAAGGCCTACCTCAACCTACCTTTCTGGCCTTATCTTCCTCTACTCTGTTCCATGTACTTTGCCCTCCTGTACAGATGCTCCTCAACTTACAATGGGGTTAGTCCCAATAAACTCATTGTTGGTTGAAAATATAAGTGAAAAATGCATTTAATACACCTAACCTACCAAACACTGCAGCTTAGCTTAATCTACCTTACATATGCTCAGAACATTTACATTAGACTACAGTTGGGCAAAATCATCTATCACAAAGCCTATTTTATTGTAAAGTATTAAATATTTCATGTAATTTATTGAATACTGCACTGAAAGTGGAAAACATAATGGTTCTATGGGTACTCAGTGTACAGTTTCTACTGAATGCCTATTGCTTTTGTACCACTGTTAGGTCTAAACATCATTAAGTTGCACCACCTATAAAAGTCAGGGACACTAAAATTTGTGCTTTCTCCTGAAACCTCAAGCTCTTTCACAGTGCTTTGCCTTTATGTATGCTACTCCCTCTTCCGGTAAGCCCTTCCCTTCTTTTCTTCTAAGCAAAAGTTCCTATTCAATCTTCTAAGACACAGCTCAACTGGTACTTCTAAAAACAAAGAAACAAACAAACAAAAAACAACAACAAAAACCCCAGAACTAATTTCTGTCAACAATGCTCTGATGGCAGCTTTTTCTGCTATTCTTAAAATCGTTTGATTGTACTATGTCTTTCTCCATTTACTGAGGCAAAAACTGGGCCTTATTTTCTTCTTTATTAACTCCCCCAATAGCTATGTCATCTGTGTATTCAACACTTTGCTCCTGAATGAAATAATGAGTAAAATAAATAGAATTTCTGTTTTAAAGAAGACCCTATTAACTTTTTCAACAAAGCAAAGCATCTTCTAATCATGTTAATCAGACTTTCAAAGTTTATTTTTAAAAAATAATAGGTTTTCTTAAGTTACACGTGGTCATAATGAAACCAATTTGCCCTCCTGGCAACTCTGAGGACTCAAGGAGCAATGGCAGAGCTGGCTAAGTTCTCTAGGACTCAAGGAGCAATGGCAGAGCCAGCTAAGCTCTCCAGGACTCAGGGAGCAATGGCAGGGCCAGCTAAGCTCTCCAGGACTCAGGGAGCAATGGCAGGCCCAGCTAAGCTCTCC